TCGAAATAGGTCCGAAAACCTCTAGACGAAAAATACGACTTGTAGCAAACAAACTCGGCAGGTTTCTATTGAAGATACAAATGTAGGCGGCAATTTTTACTAAGGCTCTGATTATTAAAGCGGGGGGAGTCGTCATCTGCGCATGCGTCAGATGGCCATAGCGTGCCATTGTTTACAAACAAGCGTCTACCCATGAGCCTTTGCGATTTTAGCGTGTGTTGTTATCATCGCTTTAAAGTGGCGTTTTTTCGCTCACATTTACAATTCAGACGTCAGAACATCACGTTTCACCATGGTGTGTCGATACAATATCACCCACTAGTATATCATGTTATAATCACCTACTCTAACAACGCCGTGGATCTCACAGTTTTGCACAATGACAATACTCATTATTGGTCAACCACGTTATTTAAACATTTGCTGGACAAGATTGGTCCAGTTATCTGGAGACTATGTAAAGAATTCAAATAATTCAGTTGGGCACTGGTGATGTCACCTGTAACGTAAAATAAGTCTTTTTACGAAACTCAGCCAATTTGCGTGCAATGTTTCAGCTTAGTGAGCGTCAATTACCGAGCCCGTGGACACTTGGAATGTGCAGGGGAGGTGTCTGCATGCCTCAACTTTACTTGGGTTGAACACAAAAATTATCGACCCCTACCACTGGTAAGTGTGCCACAGACTCCATGAGAAGGTGAGATTTGTTGACGTCAGAATAACAGCTTTAAAGCAAGAGAAACATCTGTTAAATTCTGAAGTTGCAACTATTTAAAAGAAAGATTTTTTTTATAGAAAAAAGGTATAACTATATTAAATGGGATTGCCACACTAGTGGGTAAAATGTTCATTCTAGAAAGTATTAATATATTAAAAGAAATAATGATTATTTTATTAGGAGCTGAGCATACCATATTGGATGCACAAATTACCATAACATGTGCACTTACCATACTTAGTTTACAAGGTATCTCGACATATTTGACACGTTAGGTGGAAGATGATTTTAGGCGAGTACGGTGGTGCATCGTACCAATGTTTGTATAAGAGGTTACCTGTCTACTAATTTTGCTATTGTGTTTTTTTGAATATTCCGACTACTTAAAACTCCGTTTTTAACACTTTCAGTCAAGCGACATGCAAATTATTCAATGTGTGGTATTGTTTAATTCTTGATTCACAAATTATCAAATATATTAAAAAAAAACTGTAAAGTGTAATTAGGAATTTGCTTTACCTGTAAATTGAAAAAACAAAACAAAAAACATCAAAATACAACAATACAGATATTTAAATTTTGATACTATTCATGTTTGGAAACTGCGCATGGTAGGGTATCTGATTCGTTATCCGCCTATAGGGTTATGCACATTTTGCTCTGGTGTTTCGATTTTCACGGGATTTCACTCGTTTTAGTTTTAATAAATAAAGGTAATATAAGTCGATCGATAGTTTCTACCGATATCATGCTTGAGTTGTGTGCAGCGGATCGAAATATAATCGAAAATGGATGTTATTTTCGGACAATTTCAATGTCATGGTGTCAAAGCTTTCCTACCTTGTGTTATGCGAAAGTACCGGCGACTGACTAACTGTGCCGACCCTACTTTTGGGTCATTTTTTATTATCCTAGAAACGTTCCGAGTGCCTGTGGCCAGAAAAATTAATTTTAATACCCCATAAGTTAGCGTCACTGTGACTGCGTCAAAAAAAATTCGATCGGGAAAAAAAAGTTAAATTAATTACTACAAATTATATACAAACTTTTCATAATTATTCAGAACTATGAGATTTATTGATTTGTGCAGAAAAGTTATA